ATTAATATATTTTTTTTTATAACAAAGACTTTTTCCTTTTTTTCCTCTTGTTTTAGAAAAACAACAATTTCATTAATACCAAATTGATATAAAATAAATTATTATCTTACAACATTTTAAAAAATATGACAAACCATAGTTTTTCAAGCAAGATTTAGTTGTTTTAGTAATCACAAATAAAGTTTTTCGAAATTTTCTAAGGAAGGATTTTTAAAATATGATTTCGTCTTGTTGTAGTAGATTTATAGAGGAACACGCCAAATTACCATGCCTCGCAATGAAAGGTTTTAACTGTTAAATAATTTCCATGTCTGTCTATCTCTTTCAAATAATAAAATTTAGATTTTTGATCTTTATTCAAATGACTTAAATTTTCACATATAAAGATACAAAAATTCTATATAAAAAGATATATTGGGTTGGGTTAAAAATTTTGTGAATATTACAGATATTTTTGATAATTCTGAAAAAATATTAGGTTGTAACAATTGAAAATAGATAAAAATCATAAAATGTATATATTAGAGACAACATAAAAGATATCATAATTTTCATATAAAAACAAAAAAAAAATTAAAAATCATAGTCAAAACATTTTATCAAATAGTTAGGGAACAATAAGATACAAAAATAGACTAGTAAGAAGTGATTATAAAATGCTTTTGAAGTTATAATTTGACTAAAAATTAAAAACTCATTTTGGATTCTTAAAATCTTCAATTTTTTTTTCATGATGTCTTGGAATTGTAAAATGCACTATCTATTCATCAAATCAAGTTTCAAAAAATAATATAATTAGTGTAAAGATAGAGAATGAAGAGAAGAAAAAGAGAATAAAAGAATTAGAGATGATTGTAGTGTTAATACAAAAAACAAAAAAAATAAAAAGAAAGAAAGAAAAATTATTTATAAAGAGAATTCAAGTTCCGTGTATTAAGTTATATAATTTGGGTTGGGATGGGTTGAGTTGAGCGGGTTTTAAAAATTTTAACACACACTTGATCTGTGATATCTATTTATTATGTTTTTTGACCAATTATTATTTGTAATATCCACATTATTTAACTTTAATAGGTTGAATTTAATTAAAAAATAAAAATATTATAGATAAATTAATTTTTTTAAACACCTCTAATTTCATCCATACAAAGTAAATAATAATAGAGTTTGATGTTCACTTCCTTAAATGGGTGGTATTCCAATATAGATATAAAAAGGAAATGTTGTTTTTTTAGAGAAAAAAGGGAAGATAAAGGAGACATATATGTATTTCTTTTAGTTTTAAAACGTGCTTTTCAAGATATGTTTTAAATTGTTTTCTTTTCTTAGAAAAAAACAAATTAATGCTTTTTAGGTGTTTTTGAATGATTTTAATATGATAATATAAAAAATAAAAAATATTTTTATATATTTTCAATTAAAAATATTTTTAAAAATTATCTGTATCACAATATAAAATACGAAAAATGTGAGTAATAACCATTTCTAGTTAGGGAAGAATATCATCATTTATCCCTCTAGTGTTGAAATGTAGTCAAATTAAAATACCAAGTATATCTTTACAACAACAAAAATTATATTTTTAGAAAAAAATACTCTAAAAAAATACTAATTAATAACATTTGAATTATCTTCGCATTAACTTATTTTATTCATAGTTGAGAATAATAAAATGACTTAACTTATTTCTTAGCCAACCTTTCCTGTTTATATGTATAAGGCAGTTCACGATAGTAACTATAGAAACTACAACATTGAAATAATCTTACAGTAATTACTATATATATTATTCTATAATACGTCCTCTTAAGCTAAGGGTAAAGATCAACTTGTAGCTTGAATCAAAAAGTAGTTAATGAAGCAACAAAAAGAAACTTAGTAAAGATATCTGCAAGTTAATCATGAGAGGAGATAAAACGAATCTGAATTACATTCTTTGTAATCTAGTCTCGTACAAAATAATAATTAACTTTAACATGTTTAATACAAGCATGAATTATAAGATTTGCAAATAGAGAAGTAACATCAAGATTATCATACCAATGATAAGAGTAGAGGTAGATGGAATCTGCAGATATGTTAATAAATACTAAAGGTAAATAACCTTAATAGTGCCATCTACTAAGACTTTATACCCAACTTCAGTAGAGGAGTGAACAACTATGCATTGCTTGCCTGACTTCTATGAAATCAGCTTCTGACAAAAAAAAACAAAGTAACCACTTGTAGATTTTCAATCATCAATACTATCTGCCTAATATGCATCTGTAAAACCATGTAAAGTAAAACAGGAACTATAAGTGATATAGAAGCCATAAGATGTTGTACCTTCAAGATAGCATAGAATACATTTAATGATGACCCAATGAAAATCTGTCGGAGCATATATAATTTGATAGACTTTGTTAACATAAAAAAAAAAATCCAGTCTTATAAAGGTGAGATTGAAAAGCACCTATAATTTGACAAAATTGTGTATAATTAAAGAGCAAGACATCTGGTAGTATGTCAACCTTTAAAGTAGAGACTAGAGTATCAATAAATTTGCAGGAAGTCATACTAGCTCGGGTAAGGATGTCAAGAATATACTTATATTGTTGTAACATCAAATCCAAACCGGTAGAAAGAACTTCAATACCCAAAAATAATGAACTGCACCTAAGTCACAAAACTTGAACTTTAAGCTGAATAATTGTATTAGATAATAAAGCATACTAGAGTTATTGCCTATAAACAGGATATCACCAACATATACCAGAATATAAAAGATATTACTACCAGCAAACATGATAAATAAGGAGGTGTGAAAGCCATTAAAAAGTAGAAAATCATTCAAATGAGTGTACCATGTTTCTGGTGCCTGTTTTAAAGATCACCACCAATAGCCCAACTGTGGCGGGACTACTGGTGTCGCAGTCTACCTAAAACATAGTGTTCTAAGAGTATCCTTACATGTAGATAAACATTGATGTAGGTAAGGATGGAATCGCAGATCCAAGTCCTTGCATGACTTATCTTTTATCAAGGAAAGAAAAGGCGTGTTGGGGAACAACTAGTGGGTTCTGCCCCTATAAAAGGCTAGTGGGTTGCTAGAAAAAACAAAAGGAAAAAACATTGAGTAAAACAAAAGGAAAAAAAAATATGGGAGATGACAGAAAAGAGAAAATAGAGGAGAACCCATTAATAAACAAACAAGAGCAAGATGAGGAGAGACTGAACAAAACAGAGTGAGAAGAGGTTAAAATGAGGAAGAAGAAGAGAGAATTCTTCAGCTAGTGCTCAGATCATTACCTTCAGCTGCATCATCGTCTTCATCCTTACTAGGTAAAGTCCTCTTCTCTTTGTTGATTGTATAAATATTGCAAAGAAGAAAACAATGTGAAGGTAATTTAATTACCTTCGCACTGTACAACGCATGCGTAGGTTGAGCCATGCTTGCCTGCTGCCCAACCGAGTCACTAGTTTGGGCCAGTGATCAGGCTCGGTCTAGCCTAGCCTAGCCTAGCCCATGTTGGTTGGACGAGACCTAACTCCCTAAGAAAAAAGAGTAGGCCGGATCTGGACTTTACGCCCAGTCGATTCAAATTATATTTATTAAATGTGTGTATGACAAAACATATTTTTATGCCCATTTTAATTTGATATTTGACCAAACGAGCCCCCTTTTTTATATCAAAAAATTCTAAAAATATTTGATGATATTTGTTGATTTATTTGTGGGCCCCTCGCATGTTGATTTATTTTTACTTCCTCGTGTTTTTATTTTTTTAGCTATGTGCTTAATTTGTAAACTATTATTGCTAAATGTAAATATGTTGTGCAATATTTTTATTTGTTTCCATCCAAAAAGGGCCAATAATAATAAATGATAAATAAGGAAAAAAAATGGCATAGAAAATTTCTTCTTCAAATTTATTTTTTATGAAAATATTCACCAATGCCAGAGTCAGAAGTATCATATTTTTTGAATTTATACGATATTCACCAACACCAGAGTTGAAAATATTTGTAGGAAATCATTTATTGACGTTAGAGTTAGGAACATGAAAGGAAGAATAGAAAAGAAAAAAAAAATAAATTATTAGCAATTTTAGACAAAACTAGCAATGCAGCTTGTTTTAGGTAAAACATTTAAGAGTTGATATAACTTTTTTTCTTTTGTATGACCATTCATGTTCTATAGAATCTCTATTAATCAATTAGGATTTCTAGTGATCATAATACTAGGTGGTGATTTCCTTAACAAGATCTTTTTTTCTAAAAAAATAAAATATTAGATATTTATTATTTTTATAATTAAGATTAAATTTTCTTAACAAGATTTTTTTTTTCTAAAAAAATAAAATATTAAATATTTATTATTTTTATAATTAAGATTAATTTTTAATAAATCACCATAATATTCAGGTGTGACAGATAGGCTGCTAAAATATGCCTAGAATGTAACTAGAATGATAAGAATGGTGGAATAAAGGTGTTTTTCTATTTCCTTATTTCTAAGATTCAAGCTTATTGTGGAATATTCATTTTCATTTAGTTTGAGCTTGAAAAAGTATATTAAAGGAAGTATTTAATTGTAATAATTACAATTATAAAAATCACATTTATATAAATATAAAAGATGGCTACTATCAAATAGTCAATTCTCGCATTATACATAATCTATATTTATTCTTTAACTTGCTTGAAGAGGAGACGAAAATAGATAAATTTAATTATTTAAACAATAACGCCAAGGAAAAAAATACAACTATTTCCTGATAAATCACATTGTTCATTACTTCCACAAACCAAATAGTGGAACATTAATTATATATGAAGTACCATACTCTATTTATATAACGTTTCAAATCCTCAACCGGGATGAACGTGCATTTAAACAACAATGCAGGAGACAAAGAACTCGATCGCCAATTATTGAACTTCAAAATAAAAAACAATTAAATTTGATTCGATACAACGTATTGATGAAAGGAAGTGATAACTCTTAGCATTTATTTTGAATTCAAAAATCTTTTAAAAAGGATTTTCGATAGTGTTTTATTCTTATAATTTATTTCCGAAATACAGTGCTTTGCTCATCACTTCCACACCAACCAAATGTAACCTTCAAGTGTTTTGCTTAGGCAATAGCACATGCTTACGGTATTCACCCAAAGCCCAGAGTGGGAATATGTTCCTGTAGGAAGCATAATGCAACATGGAGGTTTTCAAAGAGGCCCCTGTGATTTCCTGTAATGAAGAATACTTTGTGGTTAAGTACAGATATAGGAACATAATTAGAGTTGACGGGGAATGCATATCAAAAGATTAAATTGTTGCACAATAAAAGCTGCTGAGGAAATTACCTGCTGAGGAAATTCACCACTTTCAAGCTGTGAATTGATCAATAATCTTGCTGCTTGATGTAAAGGTGTTGCATCCCTTTCGGCCTGTTTAACAAATATAAACTGGGAAAAATATATATTGGATATTGATTTCATAACGAGGTTACACTGTTGTTACAATAAAGTATACTATTGCTTCAAACTTTATACTCTATCATCCATATTGCTATATTACCTTGTAATAGTATTAGAAAATAATATAAAATTATTTTTAAGACTATTGTATTTATATTTTGATGTCTAACCTGCCCTGCACGAATCAAACCCACCATTGTCCACGCGGTTTGCACTAAATTTGATCTGTTTCCATCTAGCGGTGTGTATTCCTGAATTACCAAAGAAGAAAATAATTATGTATTCACAACAAGTTATGTCTCTCTTTCTAAACTAATCATAATTAATACAATCACCAAAACCATTCATTTAAAGTAAAATTATTTACTGAGTTTCGGCAAGAAAGATAGCTCTCTCCCCAGCCTCCTGACTTCAGTTGTTTCGAAAGTAAAAAATCACAGCCTTTGCGCACCACTTCGCTGTTGCGATGTGTCTTTCCAACTGCTGCCAGTGCAACTAATACAATATATGCTGCATATGTGTAGCAAATCCCCCAGTTTCCATACCTATTGATAGAATGTTACATGTTTTGCGTCTAATTCGTAGTTCAGTAATTGCATTTGAGAAGGAAAATGTACCAGGAACCATCGGCCATTTGTGCATTTTCGACGTAATGTGCTGCTTTAGCCACAGACGTTTCTATTTCCTTCCCCCGGTATTCGGGATGTAAATGACTGAATAATGCAAGAGCTTGGATGACTGAAGCTGTGCACTCAACATATCTAAAACCACCAAATTAAATGACTAACAATGTCAGTATGTATTTTCCACGCCCGCTCGCGCACACAGTTATACAATCAAATAACAGCAGACATTGTTAATGTAAGGAAGATGGGGATAATTTCATACTCAGTTTCGACCATGACACCACCGAAAGTTTCTGTAGGATTAAACATCTAAGAAAAAAGAAAAATAGAGAATTACTTCTTCTTGTTTTAGAGGATGTTGTTAGTTATTATGCATTATAATTGAAAAGCAATATTTACCTCCATCCATTGCGGTGATGTTGCTGGCTCCCAAGCTGAAAACCCTCCATTTTCGCTCTAGGATAAAACACAATTACTATGGAGGAATGAAACAAAGACCTTATAGACATGCGACGCACAAACATTCATTCACTGAAATTTAACAGGACAGGTCAAGTGCACTCAATATTACCTGCAAGGTAAGAAGGAAATCCACTGCTTCATATAATTGCTCGAGTTCAATTGTGTCGCCAACAATGTCTGCTGGCATTTGTGATAACAAGAGTAAAGTCTGCAATATTTGTTAATCATTTGTGTTACGCGGAAAACAATAATAAAATTATACTAACTATAATGTGTTGCTCAGTATTATAAATACCTTTAGTGCTTCAGCTGTGCAGTCTGAAACTTGCCAACCTTGATCTTTGACAGTAAGAGTCCATGCTCCTTTACAAATTTGATGATACGTGCTCTGAAAATCTCCCGATGGGTTTTCTCGGATCTATGATTTAGTATTGAAACCAAAATAAAACAATAAACTTATAGATATCTAATTAATACAAAATTAAATTTATACAAACTAAAGTTTTTTTTCTTAATTAATTAACTTAAACGACCTTAAACCAGAATAGTTTACGGATTCTATCCTTTTCATGGATATTTATTCACATAAATAATTTACTCCACAAAAAGGAAATATGGGAGACCAAATACATACATATTTTTACATTAATTATTAGACAATGCTTATACAAATATGAAACAAGGTTAGCATACCAAGTTATATGGTTTATATAACCTGCAGGACAGAAATTTAACCTGTGAAAGTTTGATGAAATTGAAGGCTTTTCGGAGAGTTGAGCCATATTCATCAGTGAGATTGCTTTCAATAATTGCTTGAGTAGCAAAAACAGAATCCCACAGCTGGGAACCCATATTCTATGTCCCAAATAAAAATAAATCAATTAGCACGTTTAATATTATTCAGCAATCCAGTGATCTTGGAAAAACAATATTCTAGTAAATGTGGATGAGATCTGATAACCTGCACTTTCATTCCATCTTCAGCAACCCACAAGTAATCAGGAACTGTAGCAAGGTGACGCTTGAGTGAATCTTGATTAGGATCATCAGCCCAATTGGCAATCATGTTCAAACTCTGAAATTTTTATTATGTGAACCAAGCATGAGATGATTAATTATGAATTTGAGCCAACATCTTCAATAATATCCCACCCATATTACAGGGCAGAGAAGCTTTAAAAGTAGATTTTTCTGTACAGTTAAAATTTATTAGATCTTGGAAGTATTTTGCTTTGGAATAACTAATGTCTTAAACTATTTTTTTTTAGTTTTTCTATTGTTTCTTATTCGATTTGGTTTGATTTGTATTTTTTGATTTTTTTTTTTCACTTGGGCATCTACCTAACGGCACGGGAACTTCAATAATACATTTGAAAAACATATTCCGCCGGTCCATACCAGTGCAAGGCCCAATCATGAGAGGCTTACCTAGAATAGAGAATCAATCCATCATAACAAAGACGTTTCCCCTCTAGGCGTAAACTCGGTCTCCACTAGGGTAATACTGACTGACCATCCATCCACAGGAAAGATGTATAGCAAATTCATTTAATGCATGGACGCTTTCAAGGATACTCTAGTCTAATTAGTAACTACCGTGATATCATCATTTCCACACACCAATGATTCATCAGTATTAAAAACACTTATCCCCTCATTAATTTCTAAAGCTATCACAGGGGAAGGAGTAAACAAAGTTACCCTTCTTCCTATGCAACTTGCCATCCATGGCTATTAAAGAACAAGAAGGTCTAGGGTTCACAGACTCATTCTTCTTTATTTTCCCCTACTTCGTACATTTCCATTTTCCTCACTCCTTTAATTCATCTTCTGTTCTCGTATACATCAGCTCCCTCATTTACCAACTTAATTTTCAAAGGACCCTCACCTAAGCAGAGAGACTTATTTTGTAGGTTTACCAGTCACCTTCTTCGTCTTCGATCAACTTCGAATCATTGTGTCAAGAGTAACATTATTTTTTGAAGTTACCAGACTTCGTCATAAGACTTCATAATTAGATAATTAATTTTATTATAGATATTAAATATATAGAAAATATTATAAGCATGCTTTTATGTTGTAATCTCTATCATTGCTATTATATATTGCCCTATATATATAAGGTTGGCTTACCAATAAGCTAAGCCTTCTAATTATTCTCAACTTGCTACTAAAAACTTTTACAATCAAAACTCTCTCTTCACTTTCTCTATAGACTCTATTATTGTCACTGCCCTCTCTGCATACCACACTGGCAGTGCAGCCCAGTTGACTAGGCAATTAGAAGCTATTGTCGATGGCTGTTTTTGCCACCAGTAGCAGCCCTCACCTGTAAAGTAGCACCATGGCTCCTCCCATGTTTCTACTATCCCTCTTCACATCATGGGAATAAGAAGGTGTTTTTCACTTTGTCGATGACTCAATGTCATGTCTTTCCTCTCATGTTTCTAATAGTTCTTCTTTATGAATCAACCCCTTTTTTTTTCGTTGGAAACAATAAAATCAACTTATTTTAAATGCGTTATTCTCCTCTCTCTCCAAGAATGCATTGTACCTTGTGGTAGAATGCTAGACTTCTTCTTATGTTTGGCGCACTCTTAAGAAAATGCTCACTTTTCCATCAAATTCTCGTATCATGCAACTTCACGGGTTCTTTCAAGATCTTTGACAAGGCAATGCCTACTCAATATCATGTCTTTCCTCTCATGTTTCTGATAGTTCTTCTTCAAAAACCAACCCCTCTTTTCTTCATTGGAAACAATAGGATTAATTTATTTTAAACGCATTATTCTCCTTCTCTCTCCGAGGATGTACTGCACCTTGTGGTATAATGCCATATTTCTTCTTATGTTTGGTGCACTCTTAAGAAAATGCTCGCTTCTCCACCAAATTCTCATATCATACAACTCCACGGATCTTTTCAAGATCTTTGGCAAGGCGATGCCTCTATTGTTTAATATATATAGCACGCCAAGTCATTATATGATGAATTGGTTGCTATTAACTGACTTTTTTCTCTTGAAGACTTCAACCTCTATATATTTCATAGTCTTCATGGTGAGTTTAAAGACTTGGTAACTAGTCTCATGACCAAGACAAAACCACTATCATACACTGACCTTCTAACCATCTTTTTACTTATAACTTTTTACATAAGACTTCTTTTCCATCCATGACTGTAAATCCATCTCTATTACCCACACCATCTCTATTGCTCTCTGCTTACCTTACCTAGCATCAATACGGGTCTGATTTCAGCCATAACAAAGGTCATTCATGCTGCAATTGGTGCCTCAACAATAACAGGTATAACAACCATCATAAGTCTGATTTTCATATTTTTCATTCCTTTACTCTTGCAGACTGGAAGCAAGGTAATTGGCAGCAAACTAAACGGTCTGATGGTTCTAAGTAGTGGCCTCTTTACTGGTCTTTTAAGCAAAACATCAAGTGTCAGCTATCTTTCTCCTTCAATGACACTGCCCCATAATGTCCTTAGTTTTGCAGCAGTGGTAATTAGCCCTCCGCTCATCTTGTTATTGGCTTCGTTTCTGTCCCTACTTGGTTCCCGGATACTTGTGCGAACCAACATGTTACTCCTAATTTTGCAACTGTGATCGATTCTGCACCCTATCTTGGTAATGATCACTTGCATATTAGTGATGATAAGGGTTTTTCCATATCCCATATTGAGCATACCATATTATGTTTGCTTAACGTTCTTCATAATCCTTATATTACCAAACCATTGCTATCTGTTCAAAATTTTTATCATGATAATAATGTTCATTTTGAATTTTACGCCTTTATGTTTTACATAAATGATCTCACCATCAAAGTAGTGCTCCTTTTTAATTAGAGCAATGATGGTCTGTATGTTCTCTCTAAGCCTTCTACCACACTATTCCTCAAGCTTATTGGTCTTTTTGTTTCTCTATGACTACTAATCTATGACATCATTGATTGGGTCATCCTACGTCCTGTATTTTTAATTTGTTGGTTTTAAAAAATAAAATAATATGTACTTTTAAACGCTCTCTTGTTCAATGTCAAGCTTATTTGCTTGGTAAGTCTTCGTGTTTTTCTTTGCGACCTCCAAGTCATAAAACTATTGTTCCATTTAATTTAATATTTAGTGAAGTTTGGGGCCCTGCTCCTATGTTTTCTTCTTATGGTTTTCATTTCTTTGTTTTTTTTATTAATGTGCATATAAAATATATATGTTATTATCCTTTTATTGCCAAATCTAATGTGTTTTCTATATTCCAATGTTTTCAATTGCTTGTTGAGCGTTAGTTTTTCTGCAAAATTAAATTTGTTCAAACTAACTAAGGTGGTGAATATTACAAGTTAAATGGTTTCTTTCAAACTATTGGTATTCATCACAAGTTAATTTGTCCTCATGTACATGAGCAAAATGACAGCATTGAGCGTCGTCATCTTCATATTGTTAAAATAGGTCTTACCCTCCTAGAATAATGTAGTACCCTATTATGATTTTGGAATAATAAGTTTGAATCATAAGTATATCTCATCAATCGCATATCTACACTTGTCCTTCAAAATCAGTCTTTTTTTGAATGTTTGTTTCATCGTACTTCTGATTATGATTTTCTACGTACATTTAGGTGTCTTGTTTTTCCTTTTTTTTTGCGTCTATACCATGCTCATAAGTTGGATTTTTGTTCATCTTCTTGTGTGCTCTTCAGGTATAGTACCTCTCATCTTGGTTATCGTTGTTTTGATTTAATGTCTCTACGTATATGTCTCTTGTCATGTTCATTTTCATAAAAGTGTGTTTTTATTTGCTAAATCTGAATAGATAACACAACCCATAACCACCTCTACCCAGCCTATACACTTTTCCACCTTGATTACCTCCCTAATTTTTCACCCATATGACTCTTCAATCACCTCTTCTAGCAGATCTACCGCATCTCTAGGTCCATATAAACAGACCCTTCATTTCTCAACCTTGTCTGCCACCATACCACCATCACTCAGCCCTACTTTGATGTCACCATCTAAATGTTTTTGTGATGATCATTATGCAAAAACAGGTTATCCTTTTTCAGCATGGCATCTTTTCAAGTCTGTTACTACAACTAGCACAAATTCTACGATAGGCTCTCCTACATCTCCTTTTATCCACTTCAGCAGCTTTCCAGTTTAAAATTTTTTCCCTTTTAGTTTGTTGCTCATCAACATCTGATGGTTTTTCACCTATGGTTACTGAAAATTGCACTTCTCACAACATTTGTAGCCTCCTATATTATACCCATCTCTCAGGTAAGGTACTATCTTACCTTTAAATTGATTGCATTATTTGGTGTTAACAGGTATAAGGAATGGCATAGTGCTATGCATGATAAAATTCAGGCCTTGCACTTTAATAACACCTAGTTCTTGGTTCCTTTTCATCCTTAGATGAATAATGTTGGTAGCTGGTGAATGTACAGGATAAAGCGTCGTGTGGATAATAGTGTTGAGCGATATACATGTTTGGTTGCTAAAGACTTTACTCAACAAGAAGGCATTGATTATTATAAATGGCTTTAAGTCTAGTTGTTAAGCAAACACCATCAGATTAGTCCTCTCCATTGTGGTCTCGTGTAATTGAAAAATTCATCAACTTGATATCCATAATGCCTTCCTCAATGGTGTTCTTGTCGAAGAGGTATACATGAAACAAACTCTAGGTTTTATTGATTCTGCTCTTCTTTTTTATGTGTTCCAGTTGCATAAGTCTCTATATGGTGTCAAACAGGCCCCACGGACATGGTATACTCATCTGAGTGACTTATGGCTTTCTATTGGCTTTCATGCTTTTAAGGTTGACACTTTATTATTTATATTTTCTATTGATGCTGATATTATTTTATCTTCTAGTTTATGTTAATGATATTTTGCTTTTGGATAGCAAATCTACTATACTTCACTACTTAATATAGTTACTAAGTTTAGAGTTTAAGCTTTATGAATTAGACGTCATTTATTATTTTTTAGGCATTGAGGTTCAATCCACTGCTATGGGTTTGATGTTACAACAATATAAGTATATTCTTGATATCCTTATTCGAGTTGGTATGACTTCTTGTAAACCATTTTAATACTCCAATCTCTAATTCCAAAGTCACCATACTACCATATCCTTTATTTTCTAATTCTTCACAATTTCATCAGGTTATGGGTGCTCTTCAATAACTCACCTTCGTAAAACTAGATATCTACTTTGTAATTAACAGAGTTTGTTAGTTTATACATTCTCTTATAAGTTCTCATTAGAGGTACCGTTAAATGCATTTTGTGTTATTTATAGGGTACGACCACCTTTGACTTACATATCACTTATAATTTCTCATTTGCTCTATATGAATTTACAAATGCAAATTGGGTAGGTAGTATTGATAATCATAAGTCTACAGGTAGTTATCTTATCTTCTTTTATCAAAAACCGATTTCATGGAAATCAAGCAAGCAATGCACAATTACTCGCTCCTCCATTGAAAATAAGTACAAAGCCTTGTCCGATGACACTGTTGAGGTTATTTGACTTCAATATCTATTAAGAGATCTGCATATTGATTTCTGCCTCTACTCCTACTATTTGGTGTGAATCTAAATGCTATTTATTTATTTTCAAATTCTATCTTTGATGTTTGTACTAAACATGTTGAGATTGACTATCATTTTGTATGAGATAGGGTTGCGAAGAAAGAGATTCATATTCACTTTCTCTCTTCTCATGATCAACTTGCAAATTTTTTTACTAAACTGTTTCCCACTACTATATTTACTGTTTTTCGATTCAAGCTTCAGGTTGATCCTCTACCCTTAGCTTGAGGGGATATATTATATAAGTACCTATATAGAAAATATTATAGGCACTCTTATGTTGTAATCTCTATCATTACTATTATATATTACCTTACACATATATATAGAAAAGATTGGTTAACCGATAGGTTAAGCCTCCTGATTATTCTCAGCTAATTGACGAGGTATATCCTATTTATAGAACTTTCCAAGCATTACAAATGTTGTAATGGTGAAAACATTATTTTATTGGGAATGTGAACATTTTAAATCAATGAATGTTTCATTGAGAAAATATCTTAAAAAGTTTAAAAAACTAGAAATTAACCTTCAACATAGTCTATATCCCTTTTGTAATTATTGTAACTTAAATAAGGCATTGGTTATTTTCTTTATATATATATACATATATATGAAGTCACATATAGTTTGGTAGATTATATGATACCTTTCCCACAGAACCATTTGTCAAATATCCAGTGTGCTCATCTTCATATTGAATAAGACTCATTGCTTTTGCTAGAGCTTTCTCTCTTAGCTTTGAGAAAGGCCAATGTGTAGAAAGTGGCTCGGCAAAGTAATAGAGTACACCACTTAAAACATTTTCCACGAGAGAATGAGGCTTGTATAGATCCTTCTGCATCCAAAACAATTTCATATAATTTTATATTATACTACAGGTTTGTTTGTTATGCAAAAAATATTTCTCATATGCACCATAAAATATTTTATAAAAATCCAATCAAAGTAAAATGTTTTATGTTAACCATGTTTTTCATAAATAACATGAAAATACAATGATGATGGTAAAATGGTTGGTAGAAATAAAGTGCTGATTGTGGTAAAGTTAATGATGTGATTATTATCTTTGGACTTGGAAGGATATGATTCTTTTTAATAGGTGGAAGACTCTATTTAATAAAGTTTGTGTCATTTATCTTTCACTTTGTTATATATCCATAATTAAGATTATTTTTAAATGGAAAGAAAATTATCTTCATGCAATGAAGATTTTTATGGAGTGTAGATATGAATACTTAAAAAATTAGTAAGGTAGCTTGGAGTTTTCTAATTAGGTTGAGAGGTAAAGAGGGATTGGAAGTCATATCTATATTGGCAAAAACAAGACAATGTTATTTAAATGGTTATGACAATATAATAATGATGTTGCAACAATTAGAGGAATCTTATGAGTATAAAATATCAGTTTAATAATAGTGGGGTGGTGCCAAAGTTTTTAGGAACTATGTCAGCTATTTAGAGTGGTGTCTGTTAACTATTAATGATGTGGAAGAGTGTTCTCTTGATTAATAAAGGTAATTTCAGTGGCTATAAAAATTAGGAAAGACATTTTATCCTTGATGTCAAAGTGGTTAGGAGATTCTGCCCATATGCTTAAATTTTCTACTCTTTATATAGTTCATGAAAATCCAAATGCTAAGATTTCAGAGATGGGATCCTAGAATCACTTCAGTTGGAAATGGTTTATATCATAAAGAAGAAGACTTTGAGATTGAGAAAGGGTAAAGAAAGATTGACTATTACAATTGTTATTAGGGGTTTTTAAATACCAAAATGTTGCTTATAAAATAGTATGAAGACCAAACTCAAAGGGTTTTGTTTTGTTCAAGAGTTAAATTTATTTTCTTGAGTCAATTCTCTTAACAAGAGAATTATTTTTATTAGATATATAGTACTTTGATGCTCCCTTGAAGGTAGATTTTCATCTTTTGGTTTCTATCTTGAATAAATTTCTAACAAAACATTTTATGTATCAAAGATATATTATAAGGTAATGATTTAAACTATCTTTATGGTAAAAAAGAGATTGAAATTGTGTGTCATATTTTACTTTACTATAAAATGGTTCGAATGTTGTGATCTTAGGTGGTAGATTGGTTAGCACAATAGTTGATGTTACCTCAATCTCTAGATGAATTGTTCTCATTATAGAATCACATGGTATAGGGATCTATGAAAAAAAAAAGATGAAATGTTTGTTCTTCTTTGATACAATTTGATTTGTTTGGAATGCTCGTAATAATGTGATTTTTAATAAGAAATAAACACATTAGAATGATTTATATTATTTTCCTTTTTATCGGGTTGTTATTTGGATGAAATGTAATAATTGGAGTTTCTACTATACCGACTCATAAATACTTTGTTTATCAAAAAGTGTTTTTATATGGCCTAAAAAGATAAACATGAGAAGTAATTCTTATCACCTACCTCCTCCAATATGTATACTGAATTGGAATGGTGATTTGTCTTCAAATGAAAAATTAGGCCTTCAAGAATTGATGGTGTTTTTAAAGATTTTAAAGAGAAATTTATTCATTTTTTTCTTGTTCAACATATCATATGGAATCATAAATATTCTTATAATGCTAGTATTTTAATTAAAAGAATAAATGTTATGTGGCCTTAGTGATTGACAACTAAATTTAATGATATTTTAAATGTGTGTTTCCTTTCGTGTATTTTGAACATATTTATATAGAGAATAATTATATTGCAGATTTGACTAAGCAAAGAGTTTTTAGAGAAGATGACTTTTGACTGATTATAAATTTTTTTTTATTTAGGGTTTATTTTTGCTTGATTATTATTGTTAGTTTAGTTTTGTTAATAAGTTTTATGATCTATCTAGGTTTGTTTGTACTCTTGTCTCTATTACGCCATGAACTTAATAAATTATAACAATTGATTAATAAATATCTCGTGTTATATATATATATATATATAAACCATGTGATTATTGCCTAAAAGTTATAAATTATACCAGTTATTACAAAAGTTTACATTGTAAAGCATGCATTTTTTATTTAAATTGATGAAGTTAAATCAATGATGAGATCAAACCACCTTATCATACATGCTAGGTATATACAAAAAAAGATAACAATTAAGTATAAAAAAATCCTAGCATGTATATTATTACATTAAAAAAAACTATTATAAGATATATACTTGTTGAAGATCTTAAAATATTACTTATCATAAAAAAAAATATGATATTTTTTAATTTTAAAATTAGATATTTTTTTTATTTAAAGACAGTTTAAAAAGATAAAGAAAATTAACTCTTCAGATTTCTTATTAATGGGCTAAAAATACATAAATAAACATGTAAAAAATATTTTTCATGGGTGAAACAGTTATTTTATAACAAATCCAAATTATTTTTTATGGGTGAAACAGTTCAAAGTCCACGAGAGAAAAAAACTTCAAACCTAAACCTAGAAACAAGATCAAAGCTCAAGCTGGACTAAACTCAAGCCAAGTACATGCACGTGAGTTAAGCCTTATTATTTTGCTAATGCTCGTTTACTAATCTTCAACTTTTTATTATATAAAACAAAAAAAAAAAATCTTTTTTTCATTCTATATGGAATAAATGAGTGTTGGATTTTACAATGTTAACCAAGCGATTAATTTTTCATTCAATTATAAATTTTAATTTTAAAAGTAAGAGATTCCCACTTTAAATTTGTGTCAAAAGTGCCCATTAACAATGTTTCAGTAAAACAAATTCAAACTGTTATGTTAATGGTTGCAACGAAGACAGTGATCATATAAGGAGGGTGAAAACACTAGGGACAAATTACCTTCAAACATAAGATGCGAGCTTTTGTCCAATCTACTTCACCATATGGTTGAATGTAGAGTTCTTCCCTTAGTAATATAACGAGATCGGTGATTGGTGCCACAAATTTCTTACCATACAAGTAAGCCAATGGAATATAAACTGTGCGAAAGTAACACCAGAAGTTTCCTGCATTGTGTGTGTGATTGATTAATAAAAGGGAGGAGCCGCATGAATCAATCACTATTTGAGAAAATATAGAGTAAATATGGTGAAAGGTATTTTTGTAGTATTTTATTCAACTTGAGAGAATTTATGTCAAATATTCATACTTTTGAATAATAAGAGTAATTGTCGTACCAAGAAGGTCATTGTAATTTACCTAGATTATTACATGAACTTGGTCCCATATTGTACCAAACAATATTAAAACTGTTTTCCATGGGGTTCATTTTAAAAAATTAGTGAATTTTCTAGTCGAGTTTACCATTACAATTTCTCTCAATAGCAGTTCAAACCTTCTTTACCTGGATTGAAAGGAAGAAATGATGGGAGAAGCAAACATTCTGGAGGCACTGGATTGCAGCCAGACCACTCATATAATCCAATGAACTACAAAATCAAGATTTTAAATGCTTATAAGTTTTATATATGGGAAAATAAATAAGTAAAAAGATTTGACTTGTGGGTTTCATTAGTTTTGTATATTCATGTTGAATATTTCAGTTCAATTTGCTCATTTACCGAAAGAAAGTATTTTCCCCAGATAGATATCATTGTTACACCACCATGATCAAGTATCCATTTCCGGGCCTTTGCCACAGCTCCATCTTTGCCTCCTTCGGGTTCTTCTCCAAGCAAACGCAAGGACACATAGTTAAGTGCTGTACATAGCATCATGCTATGGCTTTCAATATGGAAGCCCCATCCTCCATCTTCATTCTGTAAATCAAGTAATCCTAAACATTAGTATAATCGAGGAACCAGTCCACTCTCAACCATCTTTCGTGGTTACGCTTTAAACCCTAAAACTTCAAGTGTACGGTCCCTTACACTCTCCACCTTGGAGAAGCAGGCCTTTCGCCTATTGATATCATTTACTTACTTGATGATTATAGATGTATCGAACCATTTCCCTTTTATGTTCAGATGAGAGGATTGTGTTTAGGGTTCCTGTAATGTACAGAGCAATAACCTGCATTTCAAACATATCTTTTAACACTTAGCCATCACTTAATGAATTATAACAATCCCTCATTAGATCACAATCTTTTATAGTATAAATTGGGGGCTAATGCTTACTTGATATTCAAAATAGATTTTGATAATATATCCAGGGATTGCTCAACTTGATATGTTTAAATTAATTATTAAGTGTAGAATACATTAAGGAGGACAAGTGCAGCCACTTCCAAGCTTAGTAAAAAGACTTCCATAGAAAGGGTTTGTCTCCTTTCACTACACCTGGTTTCGAGTCCTGGTGTGCACGTTTGTCATCCCCGTGGTGCCTTACATGTATACTGGGTTTGCAGGGTATTCAGTGGACCGTGGGGATTAGTCGTGGTACGCGCAAGCTGGCCCAGACATCCCACGGAAATTAAAAAAAGAAAACAAAGACTTCGATGAAAGATAAACAAGAACAACTTTTACCAATATCTGCTAGATCAAAATGAAACCACGGAATCCTTGGGGATGTCGTATTGTGAGATTGTTACTGTGATGCAAGTTATTTATTTTTTATAGCAGTATATTAAAATTAAATCATTAAGAACACTAAAAAAATATCAATTAATAAAATGTATTTTTAAAAATCCATTTTTCTAATTTCTTATAATGAATTTCTCTATTTATCTTGTTTACAGAGCAGATCTTTTTTGGGCTTCAATTGCTACCTAACATGAGTGTTCTTAAATCAGGACTTACCAAAAAAGGCTGTTCAAACAGGAGGGCTGAGAATTCAGAAGGCCAGTGCCCATCCCTTGCTTGTAATGCTGAAGTGAACCGAACAGCTTTCCTCAACGCAATTTCTGCTTTTTCACAAGTTATTTCTTCTCTGTCTCCCAATCTCACTGATGGTAGACTCAGATCAATCCCATTTTCTTTGATAAGCTGCATTTTCGAACTCAAAGAAAACAGAATAAATGATAAGATGAAATATTTAGCCTAAGACCCTTTGGACAACTTCATGAGAAAAAAAAAAAGAGAAGGGAAAATTAAGTACTCAATCTAGTGGTAATGTGTGATATGATCTTAGTTGGGTAAAACTAGACTAACTATATATTGAACTACAGGCTCAACTAGCTTGAAACAGTTATTGCTTGAATTAAAGAAGAAAGATATTACTTTTCAATATAATATGACATGAAATGGAAACTCTAGATATTAAGCATGGAGCAAACCCCCGAAACTAACAGGTTCAGTTTTGCTTAAAGTGTAATGGATGCATCTTTTATTAATACTACAAGTTAAACCTGCAAATTCTTGAGAACATCACTGCTTGCTTTAACTTGAAATCGGTTCTGAGAGAATTTCTCTCGAGCCTTTTCCACTTCCGCATGTTCCTCCGGGGTTCCAAGATCAGGATCGAATTCCCAAACTTGTCTGCCAACAAAACCATTGGTGATAAGCAGCCATGGATCATGGCCCTCTGCTACCTCAAGCTTCCACATTGCCTACTCTCACTTGGTTTTCTGGACCTTTAATTTGTGCTTCAATTTTACAACAATATGCATGTCAATAATATAACTATATTTATAGATACATAATACTACGATTCAGTCAATTTTTTACGGAACAAAAAAGTGGCTGACATCATAATCTTATTTGAAAACAAATAAAAAATTGAACGATATCTAATTAAATAATATTTTAAACATAATCTTAATTATTTTATTTATAATGACCTTTAAAATGGCCGGTTAAAAAATGCTAGGAGCTTGGGCCCTAGCCTTTCTCATAGCTGATCTCATCTTAATTCTATTCCAATCAACCTTTAGTTTTTGGCAACCGCATGATCCAATCAACCTTCAGCAACTTGCTCGGAAGTGAAGGCCCAGTGTTAGTAGCCTTCATCAAAGCAAAAATTTAATTACTATTTACTATTGTTAAATAGTAAAGAACTTGGCATTGAAGGTGGTTAGAAACTCAAGACTCGAGTTTAGTGATTTTAAAGACCTATTTATAAATTATTATTTTTATCGTGAAACATTTAAGAAATATTTTAAGAATCTAAATAAATTTATTTTTATATTAAAACACAATATATCAAAAATAAAAGAATAAAACACTAATTGAAAAGATTTCATGAGTATTGATAAATTTTTATGATGAAATGAAAGTAAAAAGATATCTCAATGGGACCTCTCTTATTGAGAGGATCCCAATAAAAATACATGGATGAATTATGATAAAAATTAAATTTTAGAGATTAAATTTTAATTTTGCACGCCTTTGTATGTACATCCGTCCTTTATATTTTATTTGGATTTTTTAAAATAAATTAAAATTTAATCTTATAAAATTGGTCATTAATTTAATACTATAATATCAATGACATGCAAGGCAAACGAGATAAAATAAAATGGAAAAGATTTGAGTCCATCCACCGTCATCATCATCGTTTCCTACTCATCTATTTCTTTATTTTCAGTAACTTTTCCTTGAAATCTATCATTTTCTGTTTCTTTCTTCTTTGAATGAGGTCTGAGCTAGCCACCCACTCACTGTCACTCTTTAATTGTCTGTGGAGCATCATATCAAACCGAAGTGGACATGTGAATATAAATGTAAATATAAATTACAATGAAATCTATCATTTTCTGTTTGTTTCTTCTCTGAAATTGGACTGAGCTTGCCACCCACTCACTGTCACTCTTTAACTGTCTGTGGAACATCTTATTAAACCGAAGTGGACATGAGTAAATCTTGAATATAAATGTAAATATAAATTATATGATCCAACCACTAATTCATTACTTCCCGCTCCCTATTTATCACTCCTGGCAGTCTTTTGATAACTGTAGTAATTGGCTGATAACATCCTGTCAATGAAGAGATATGACAACATCCAACAAAGCAGCCAAAGCATTTATAGTATTATTATGACACCATCGAACAAAGCAATTAATGCATTTATATCCTGTTTTTATTTTTTTATTTTTTAAAAAATATTTCTAATATCAGCATATTATTTTAAATTTTTTTATTTTAAATTAATATTTTTAGAATATTTTGATATGCTGATATTAAAAATAAAAAAATAATTATATTTTTAAACATACTAATATTAACAATACTCTAAAAGGTATGTTCCCATGTTTTTATTTTTGTTGAACTTATATATTATAATTATAATAATAAAATAATAATAGCGTATAGCTATTTATTTTTTTGTTTTTTTTTCTATTTTCTATTTTTTTATGTCGTTATAGGTTTTTTTAATATTAATATTTTATTTAGTTATTATATTTTTATGATATGGATCTCGAGTTTGACAGATTACTTTGAATTTTTGCTTTTTTTTAAATTAATTTTTTTAATTTAGTTTAATTTATTAATGTAATTTTTTTTATTTAATTATCATATTTTTATTATGTGAATTCTAAATTTAACGGATTAAACTAGTTTGAAAAGATAACCTAATTAATTTAGATTTTTTTTATTAGTTTTTTTTATTGGTTTTTTTATTAATATTATAAATATTATTTTTAAGTCAAATAACTAAATCTAAAGTTTTTAATTATCATTTTATAAAAAAATTTAATATTTTAATATATGTTTTTATAAAAAATTAAGCCGTAGCATCTATATAACTACTTCTGATTGAATCTTTGTCGGAGCGCGGGTGAGGGAGCTTTACAGGAGGGACTTCGAGTGATTCTAATCTTATTACTGCTTTTGCATAGTTATAGTACTTAAGCCTTTCACCCAGTACAAAGATTATGCTGTAGGATGAACGAGTCAATTAAATGGTCGGTTAGTTGATCTGAATTCTGTACTTTTTATTACAAAAAAAATTAAAATGACATCACAAGAATTGCAACTCTAGCAGTAGTAGAACGTACATGCCAATATCTCATCCAAATAGAACAATATAACAGAGTCAAAAGCCCTGTGAAAATCTACTTCAAAAGATATTCTTTTTACTTTTTTTTTTTAATTAACATGGTGCATCATAATTAATTTTATAATTCATTGAATATTCTACAAACCTGATAAGCAGGTAACAGATAAAATATTATGAAAATGACAAGCATACCACACAAAAAAAAACCCAATAAAAATATAAAAAAAAAACAACTCTTTAACGCCACTCCTATTATAACTCGAACTTGAATTCGAAAAAAGAAAAGCTGCCCCAACAGCCACAACCCTGCTGGTCCTTTTTGCTTCTTTCTCGTAAGGTGACAAATAAGTTCATTAGCAATTAACACATTATCCATGATTTTCCTACCTTTGATGAATTCATTTTGGTTTTGCCGAACAAATTCATGCATGACATCTTTCAGCCCTGCAGCGAGGACCTTGAAAGTAACCTTATAAAGAGATACATTAAGAGTTATCGGTCTAAAGTCTTTCAGATCGCAAGAACCTACCACTTTAGAAATCAAAGTAATAAAGGAACTGTTAATTCTTTTTGGAAGTACACCCAACAGATAAAATATTAAAATATAATGTCAATTAGAATTTAAATTAATAAAATTTAGAAATTATAAGAATTATAATATTAGTTAAAGAAGGCATTGTAGTTAATATAGAAATTATTGATGAAAAAGAATATAAAATAGACTAGTATATTAGAATCTTGTTTAATTAGAATATTAAATTACTTATTAGATTATGATTTCCTTTGAATAATTTAATTCATTGATTATCTACAATTTGAAATCTGTAAATAAAATTGTAATTAGAAACATAAAAAAAATATAAAAAGATAAAATATCATTTATTTCATTTTTTGTTTTGTTTTTAGCTTTGTTCTTATATTTGTTCTATAAAATAGCCAATACATCCTATCCTTCTTTTCCAACATAAAACTTACAAACCATAATCATTCATAATCTCAAATAGTATTTGACCTCTTCACATGTAAATAGATTTTTTATATATAATAATTGATTGATTTATTAATAAAATAGTCGTTTATATTATGAGAAATACAATGAATTTAAAGAAAACTAAAAAAAGAAGGAAGGGAAACAAGTTTAATTATAGTATATTTGTAACATAAAAAATCTAAACTTCATTCTTTGCGCGCTTTCTATCTATGTTTGTCTTGAGATAAATGCCTTCAGTATTATAAATGAGATTAATTTCTGTATATGAAAAATTAGGCTTGCTAACCTTTATCCAACAAGACAAACAATGAAAAATCAAATCAAAGACTTCATCTCAATCCATTGTTTTGGCGTTAAAAACAACTTGATTAAGTGTAAGCCAAATTCTCCAAGCTACTTCAAAAAACAAGGTTTGCCAAAACTTCTTTTGAACTATAAATGTTTGGTATTCATTCCACTACTAGAAAAATAATAAATACAAATAATAATATTAATAAAATATTTTTATTGGTAAATTATATTAAATTTTACAGATGAAAATATTTCTTTGGTATATATTGTAGGAATTATAGTGGAAAAAAAATAAAACAAAGCTAAAAAATATGATGACATATCATTTATACCAGTTGAATTACATAAAAACTTAATTCTATTAGTAAAATCATTAGTAAACTGTTAACATTGTTTATCATGTCAATTACAAATAAAATTTTCATAACTCATTTTTAGGTTATTCCTTAATTTTTTTACAAAAAAAAAAAGAAGACAAAATCATAAAACAGTGTCATTTTGAATCGCATTATTCCTCTTTCCCTGGATGTGCAATAGGGGAAGGAAAAGCTATTTTTCAAAAAACATTTCTTGCTTTTCTCTCCACTCTCTCTCCTTCACCAACTGTAAGAAACTGACACAACCCATGCCCCACGCCCTACCACTATTATTGAAGGGGCAAGGGAGCCATGCCTTGCAAGTGGCTGCATAGAAACCGCCTCAGCCACCTTACGTTGTCCTCATGACTAAACAACGTAGGGTGGCTCCCTCTCCTCATGCTTATAAATACCAAACAAAAATGATTGAATAGAAGGGGGAGTTTTGGAAAGGAGGATGGACGAAGAGAGAGGGAAGATTGTTTTGAAAACAGAGACGTAATAACATTTTGAGAGGATCAGAGAGAGAAGATTGTTTTGAAAACAGAGACGCAATAACATTTTGAGAGGACTAAAAAGAGAAAGAACAAAGGAAATGAGAGAAATAGAGACACGGGAGAAGAGAAAAAATGGTAGAGGAATGTGCATAGAGAAGATATAAAGAATCACTAGCTGGAAAAAGCAGCTCCTTATGCACAAACACCTCATTCACCAGAAGAACCATTGCAATGTCATCGTCTATAGTCCGCAACACTGCCATCTCAACCACCATTAACAACAACACCATCATCATTAGAAATAGAAGAAGAAACAAAGATACAGTAGAATAGAAGCAGAGTGAACAAGAAATACAGAAAACATAGAGAAAGAAAGAAGAACCATCGGCCACGCAACTCCTTAATTTGTATTTGCAACGCCACTATGAGCTATTGTAGGTCAACCTCCCCCTCTACTTCTTTTTTGGTTTCATTTTCCCGTCTCAATTATTCTGTAAAGTGAATAGTAGAAAGTAAATTAATCCACTCTCCATTATTTATTGGGCTAGACTGCGCCGCCCCTAACCAAAATGGTTGGGCCAGGTATGGTTCAGTCAAAAAC